TCTACGCCTTAAGCGCTCGCAAGCCAGGAGAGACCTGGCTACCCCAGGAGGTCACCTCACAGGAAAACCAGTCATGGTTTTAGCCCGTTTTAGAGACATGCACACTTTCTCCTGAGAATGCCTTTGCTGTGTGTTACAGTTCAACACTTCTGCCCTGCAGGGCAGCAGTGAGCCTCACATTAAGCTGTGCTTGTTGTTTGAGCTTTGTATTTACGGTTTTGCCTACCATAGCCATATTCTTTGATGCATATGTCTTTGTCTTAAAATCTTACTGCATACCTGCTATATATTCAGTATACAAGATGGAGCAAGTAGAGGAAAACAAAGTAAAAAAATCAAGTCTGTTCTATTTTTTTTTTTTATTTATTTCTGCATAGAACTGGGGTGTGGCCCAGAGGAGTAGGGGTGGGGGCAGGAGGGGTGAGAGGATTCACCAGAGTGGGGAGCAGAACAGGTGGATGTACTGAAATACACTGCTGAGGGGAGCAGTGGGGAAGACCAGGGAGAGGGCTTCCCCTATGAGCCATCTGTGGGTTGACTCCCTGGTGGGGGGTCAAACACAGGCCCAACAGTGAGACTGACCTCTAAGCCACCAGGGAGGCCAGCGAGTCTAATTCCCGCTGTCTCTAACCACTGTTAACATTTTGCCTCGTTGCCTTTCATTCTTTTTTCCCCTATGCATGTCTTTAATATGTGTGATACCATTCTGTATACAAAAAAAAAAAAACTTGGTTTTCACCCAACATTTGGTACTTTCCCCGCGTTATTAGGGCTGTTCAGTAGTGTCATTTTAAGTGGTCCCACCTCAGCTGGCCTACTGCTCTGTCGCCGGGCGTGAGATGGCGCCCAGCTTCGGAGGCCCACTGTGACCTTGGGGTCTAACCAGAGGTCCACGTTTTGCATGATCGCAGATGTTAACTGTCTGGTGGAGAATCACACGGTCAGAGCGCGAGAGCCGTGCGAGGCTCTGGATGGGTCACGCATTGCACGGTGACGCGGCCACTGCTGACACCAAAGCCACTGCTGACACCGAGGCCCGTGCGCCCCCGCTGCCTGGGCTCGAGGGCGAGTCCGTGACGCGCCGGCCCTCCTCCGTGTGACTCTCCTCTCAGTTCTGCCTTGGTAATGAGACGGCCGCTTGTCCCATTGATTCGACCCCACTTGGGTGCAGAAGCTGCACAGCTCACCCGCACAGACCCGGGGTGCGCCAAGGTGTGACTCTGCCTGCACTTGGATCTTTCAGTCAAATCGGAGGGCACAACTGGGGGTGGGGGGCTGCAGGCTGCTCCTCTCCCTCATGCGCTGTCTGGTGTGACCCTGTCATAATCTTGTATGTGTTTTTACTTTGAATGCTGCTTTCATTGGCCTGCTTGGACCTGCTTTGTTTATAGCAGTGAAGATCCTTCTGAGTGTGAACATCCCAGACTTGATTTCACTAGTGCTTCCAACAGAGTTGACCTTTGACCCACATGAAGCTGAGGGGCGCTGTCCCCTGTCCACACTCCCACCCTGTGGATTCAAAAATTCTAGTATAACTTTGATTCTCCCCCAATTTTTTGTTAAAGATTTTTTTATGCTTACAGAACTGGGGTACAGGCCAGAGGTGTGGTGAGTGAGAGGATTCACCAGAGACAGAGTGGGGAGCAGAACAGGACGAATGATGAAGTCCACTGCTGAGGGGAGCATCGGGCGGGTCAGGAGAGGTCTGCTGTGCCATGTGGTCACCTCCAGGGCAGGCAGGGATCAAACTCGTGCTGCCGTGGCCTGGGAGAGCTTCTTAGTGCTGCACTTAAACCCGCTGCGCCACCAGGGAGGGCCCCAGATTCTTAACACTCTGATGATTATCAATAACCTTAACATAACACAAGTCGATTCATACATATTTGGTGTGTTACGTGCATTGTGTATTATATCCTTACAATAAAGCTAGAGAACAGAAAATGTTAAGAAAATCATAAGGAGGAGAAAATCCATTTTGAGTCCCGGCTGCAGCGGCTGACACTAAGTTGATGTCATCCGCATACACGCTGAGTCACCTCTCAGCGCCTGTCAATATTGTCTCAAAAGGTGCAAAACACAGGAGATGTTAGGCAGATGACTAACACTAGACATCAAACATGACAAGCTAGTGTGGAAAAGATTCTTATTTCTTTACAAATACATACAGTGATCCATGTATTTCTGAGCTACATGGTTGTCTGAATTCCTTCAAGTAGCTGCAAATCTTCAAAACTTTCCCAACATATTTCTTGAAAAGTGCTGTATCTAAGTGAACGTGTGCAGTTTAAGCCAATGGATTCAAAGTCAGTTATACATTGGTAGGATTTTTATCCCACTCTTATACCTTGCTGACAAAAAAAAAAAAAAGCAAAGCCTTTCTTTTCCTTTTTTAGAACTGAGTTTTAGGCTTCTTTTTGGCTGTTTTTTTTTTCCATATTTTCACATTTTATTGAATTAATCCATTGACAAAAATTAAACTGTCAATATTCCTGACCTCTCATCTTTAATTTTTTTTTTTTTTTTTTACTTTTACAAAGAACTTGGGTACAGGCCAGAGGAAGTGAGAGGATTCACCAGAGACAGAGTGGGGAGCAGAGCAGGTAGATTGACTGAAATACACTGCTGAGGGGAGCAGCGGACGAGACAGGAGAGGTCTGCTGCGCCATGTGGATCGAACTGGTGCTGCAGTGGCTGCAGATGGCTTCATAGTGCAGAGGCTTAATCCTTTGCACCACCAGGGAGGCCCTCTCTTTAATTTCAATAGTCACTTCTTTTCACAACTTCCCTATTTGAAAATTCTTTTTCTAATTCAGTCCTTGCTGGTTGGGGGAAATTACTTGGCATTTTTTGCAGGAAGGCGCTCACCCAGGAAAGTGTCAGAGGCTTGCCAAGGAGTAACTGCTCATGATGCCAAATTCCTCACCTGATGCTTTTCCTCCAGAATCCATATAGCTGGGCTCTTGGCAGAGGTGTCCGATGTGGTGGTGAGTCATCGGTTAGACCTTAATTTTGACCATAACTTGATGTTCTTGAAATTGAGTAACTAGTTACACTCAACCTTAATCAGACCTTCTGTCATCAGTTGCAGTGATTTGGGGATTTTTAGGGAGTTTGGACTTTGCTCTTCCATTCTATTCTTTTACTGAGTTTGACGTATATTCCTACTATGTTTTGCCTTTGTGGGTTTTGACTAGTTATATCCCACAAGTGAGTAAAATTGCCCATTATCTGTTTTTCACCTTTATTTCACATAATCACCTTGAGATTTGCCCATTTTGTCCCAAATGCCATTATTTCAGAGCTGTGTGATATGCCATCAAGAATATATTCTACACTTTTTTTCATTCATCTGTAGGGCACCAGCATCACCATCATTCTCACCATCTCACTGCTGTCCCACCTCCAGTCAGCACCATCTTTATCATAGCAGCTCTGTTCACTATTTGCACTGTGACAGGCATCGTGCTAAGCATTCTCTATACACATTCAGTCCTCACTACAACCCTGTGAGATGGAGTCTGCAGCGAGTCCTATTGTGGCCAAGGTGACAGAGCTAGTGAGCAGAGAAACCAGGCTTCAGATCTTGGTCTCTAGGTTCGTCCCTCATGTCTTGATTTCCAGACCCTCTAAAATGCAGGTGGCACAAGTGTCCCCCACCCCCTGCAAGGTACTGGCTCTGGTGTGTCTTCATCTTTGTGTCAGACCCCATCCCCAAGAGCTGCATCAGGGCCCCTTCCTGGTGGCACAATGGGTTAGGACACAACACTGCAAGCCAGCACAGCTGCTTCAGTGCAGGTTTGATTCCCGCCCCAGAGGTGCTCCACAGGGCGCGACAGACCTCTCCTGACCCGCCCGCTGCTCCCCTCAGCAGTGTACTTCGTTGATCTGCCTGTTCTGCTCCCCACTCTGTCTCTGGTGAATCACCACCCCAACACCTGTAAAGAACTAGCTTGTACCCGAGTTCTGTATGCATAAATAATCTTAAAAAAAAAAAAAAAAGCCCACATCAACCTCTACTCCCTGTGCCTCTTCCCTCCTCAGGTGTATAAGGACAAGACTGACGCGGAGCAGCTGGTGACGCTTCCTCCTGAAGGAGCCCCGCAGAGACAGTGGCTGCTGAGCCCCTGGGAGAGCAGTGGATGGCATCAGAGACCAGCCGGAACTGGTGCGTCTCGGGGACCCGAGGGTGATGTGGGTGTGTCCAGTGCCATACACGCACCAACCTGCTACGTGCTGGGGGGTTGTGGCCTTGGGCAAGCTGCTGCACTTCCCTGGCCTCCATTTCCCCACCTGTGAAATGGATGCCCACCTCTTGGTCCTCATGAGGACTGAGGCCGCGGACACGTCTTCGAGAACGTCCTCATGTGCTTGCAGTTTGTACGCACAGCTCTGGCAAGCTCTCTGGGCTGGTTAGCCCATGCCTGCGTGCCACTCACCATCGCTATCTGAAACGACTGTTAATCTGACTCCCTTCTGAAAGGAACTGGAGTTAGGAATCCGGTAACCATCCTGAGCTGAGATCAGTAACAGTGAAAGCAGCGTCTGCTGTCAGTTGGGTGCTCCCGCACCACCTCCCTGTTGGTCTCAGAGACCAGGTGTGGAGGGCGAGTGGCCCACGCCGTCACAGGTTTGACAGCAGCGCACTGAAGCGATGGTCACAAGTACTTACTGTCATTCAGGCTTTTACATGTCCTTGAGACACAGACAAGCCACTGTGGCCCCCCCCCCTTTGGTGCTGTACGGAGATGACAGTCTTCCTGCTTAGCTGTGGCAGGGGCTCCCCAATCCCCAAACTTGCCCCTGGGACCGCAGACCCTTGACTCACTGTCCCAAATCGAGACGCTGTGTCCATTCTTCCCAGAAGAGCTGACTTGTCAGTTTGAAGGGGAAGCGCCCTGGGCCTCACTGTGCCCTGAATGTGAGCACAGTGTGGGCTTCCCAGGCAGAGCGGGCCCTGCACTGCTGACTGCGGGTTGCTGAGGAGCGTAGGGGTGTGTGTGGCTGGTGAGGGCTCGTGGCCCCGGGCTGGCTGGTGGCAGAGGCTGCTAGGCGCCACTGTTCCTGTAGGCGCCACTGTTCCTGTAGGTGTTTGTACCGAGGACCTGCAGCAGATCACGTGGGGGAGGGGATGCACATCCCTGGGCCTTGGTCCCCGCCGCTCAGGGGCCCTGGGGGCTGAACTCTGATCTGCAGCCGTCTTCTGCCCCTGAGGCTGCCCAGAGTTGCAGGCACAAGCCTGGAACTGGCACTTCTGGTCCCTTCCCTTGCTGCTGTCAGTCTGCTGCTAGGACGGGTGGGGCCAAGGCAGGAGCAGACTTCCGGTCTTAGCTGGTTCCCTCTCCATCTGTGGTTGTGGGGCTGCCACCGCAGCCAAAGACTGCGCCCAGGAGGACAGGCTGTCTGGGTTCTCACCCACGCACTTACAAGAACACTCGGGCTCAGGGAACAACTGTGGGGTCTGTTACCAAAGGGGAAAGTCTAAGGCCAGCCACCATGGCCTGTCTCAGCCCAGTGTCCAGAAATCCCAAACATGGCACTGTCTCATCACAGAGGGCCTGGGGTGCATTGACAAGCCACGACCAGGATCCACTCATGATGGCAGCTGGAGGTGTCCAGGGACAGCCCAAGGTGACACTGCAGCGGCCACAGCCGAAGGTCAGGCTGGACAGCCCCAGGCCCTGGCCCAGACAGCACTGGAAAGTGGTGCCAGGCAACCAGATCATCCGTGGTAACAGCTCTCAAAGTGACCTGGACAAGGAGTGCTGATCACTGTCAACAGTGCCGGGCAGCACCAGCCAGTAGAGTGGGGCCACCAGGGGGCGGTGTGTGAAGGCACAGTGTGACCTGCTTTGCAGTGTGGGCTCAGCTCTTGGGGGCACCAGGCCTGAGGCCTCTCTTGCTCCTTTCCAGAGGGGCCAGGCGCCCAGGAAGCTCCTGGGCTTCTCCTGTCTTTAGTGGTCGGCTCTTGGGACCGCTCCTCTCTTGGGAGACCAGGAGTGACATCTAAGCCAGCCTGTCCTGCTTTGCATCTTTCCTCAGGGTGCCCCACCCTAACTGCGTGGTTGGGCCACTGGACCATTTTAGGACCAATCAGCCCAGTCAGGATTTTGGAGCCAATACCTAACTAATGGAGCTGATTGAACATGGTTTAGCTCGCATCTGCAGCCTCTGTATACCTGTGTCCTCTGCTTACAGAGGACTGGCCCATTCTGCGACCCAGGCAGGGAACTTGTTGCCTGCGCAGACTGGAAACTGCCCTGTCATCTGGGCAGGCCATGGCCTGGGGAGCTGAGGAGCACAGCCAGCAGCAGCCTGTGTAGGCCACAGGCTCTCTGCATCTGGGAGCCCTTAAGTAGGGGACGGGGGAAGCTGAGCAGCACTGCAGGGTGGGCCCCACTGGGGCCTCCATGTTGGCCAGGGCTCCCCTGCCTTTAGACAGAGTGAGCCGAGCTCCTCCCTGCAGCCAGCCTGAGAGGCTGATGGCTGCCTCAGGTCGCCCTGGCTCTGCAGCCGTGTCCTCACAGGGCCTCTCCCCTGCATATACCTGTGTCCTCTGCTTATAGACAGCAGTCACTGCGGATGAGGGTCTGCTGTCCCGACTCGGGTACCTCTCCAAGTGCCCCTGTGATACGCCTTGGGAGAAAAGGAACTGGCTTCCTAAGGTCACCAGCCACGGTACTTACTGAGGCCTCTCAGCTTCTTCCTCAGACCATTGAGAAATACAATCAGAATAGAGCCCTGGAGCGAAATGTGAGGACTAAATAAGATGTCCCAATGGCTCAGACAGGGCCTGCTGTGCGGTTAACATTCCATATTAGCCATTATTAGATTACACAAACTAAGACAGCGGCTATCTCAGGCTTCAAGCTTACATTTCTCCTCCTCTGAATCTTTTGCATCTTCTAAAGGGAAAAATACTAAATACTTGGGTGGTTTTGAGGCTACTTCTGAGGGTTTTGTGGGCACAGGGGAGGCTGAGGCCAGACTGTGGGGAAAGGCTGGCATGCCACCGTCAGGCCAGTCAGTGCCTCCACCCTCGCAGAGGGCTGCTGCCTGCAGAGCGGTGGCAGGGACCCCTGTGGCCTGTTGTCATAGCAAGTCTGCGGGCGCCTCCAGGGGCAGCTCTAAGCTTATTTCAACCTTTGTCACCTTAACAACCAGGTTGGCTGGAAACCTCAGTGTAACTGGGTATCCCGGTGATGGGTGGCCCCTCTGTAGTGAGTGGCGCAGGCCACGGCATTCAGGAGGTATGGGGGGGTGCAGAGGGTTGGGGGGAGAACTAAGTTCATGGGAGCTCAGCATCTCAAAGCCCTTGACAGAAAGCAGTATCCTGGATCCAGGACTTGTGACCCCATTGCTGCTTCTAGAACACATGCACAGTGCAGTGGAACCTGCTTGGGGCTCTCTGCCACTTCCGATGGCTGGACCCCAGGGGTCCCTCTGTGACAACACTGTGCATGGAGGTTAAACCAAACCTACCCACCAAGGCCACGACTCCAGTGCCCCTGGGACTTTGGGGTGGCAGGCCTGGAGGCCTCCCTGGCAGAGGTGGCCTGACTAGCACCACTTTGTGATTTTTATTTCAGACCCTGTGGCAGCACGTGTCAGATCAAGTCACCACCACGGTGAGACCAGGCTCCACTCCGCGCCCCTTCCAGCTCCATCTGCAGGGCTGCTCTAAACACGCTGGTCTGTCTCCTGTGAGCGGGGACTACTTCCCACACTGGGCTCTTAAGTTCCAGTTCATTTTTCAGCCAGTTTGCTTGGGTCAGAAAGACGTGTGTGGTGTGGGGTTGAGTTTACTAATAAATTGTCCTGGGGGGAAGGGGCTGCCAGGGCCATATCATCTAACTCAACTGTGGGGGATGGGACAGCATGTCAGAGCTGGTGCTGTGGGGCCAGGAAGCTGGGTCCTGGAGAGAAAGGCCCAGAGAAGTGGCCGCGGTTTACCTGGGCTTGGGGCCTAAGGGCTGAGCCCACCTGCGGAATCTGAGGTAAGGCATCTTGGGGAAGGGGGCAGTGAGATGCCTGGGTGCCAGGCAGGACGCCCTTAGAATGGTCAGGGAGGGGGAGGCCACTGTTCTTGTGAAGGCCTGTGAAGCAGCAGGGTGGCTAGAGGGAGACCTGGGGTCACCCCATGGAGAGAGTTGACAGGTGTTAAGAATAGCTGGGTGGAACCTGAGCTCTTAGGTACCTCCACCCAGATAGTGGAAGATGCCAGCTGCTGAAGTTGGTGTCCTGGCCCAAGTCACACAGGCCTTTGAGGCCATGCTGGGGGGAGGGCCATATATGCAAGTGTAGACCCCCCGGGAGAGACTGAGGAGGGGCTTGCAGATGGCAGCCCTGGGGCAGGGCAGAAGGCAGCAGCACTCTGCTTCATGCCTACACATTCTCCTGCACCCAAACCATCAGTTATGGTGACTACTATCACCCACAGTGGGCCTGGGGGCAGGTGGCTGCATGCAGGGTGGGGGACCCATTTCCAGGTGCCTGTGCACTACAGGTGTTATAAGCAGAGCCAGAGAGCAGCCCCCCTCCAAATAAAAGGGGGCTGTACAGCCATAGGGACAGAGTTAAACCTCAGAAGGTGAGGCCAAGTCCCCACTCCCAGCTGGGCCCTCTCCGTAGCCCCAGAGCGGGGAGTGTGGGCGTGCAGACAGGCCTTTCATTCTCCCAGGGCCCTGGCTGGTGTCTGGCCTCCCCCTCCCTAAATGCAGGTGCACCCGGAGCCAAGTCTGATTGACACCTCTGGCCCCAGCTTGCTTCAAAATCTTCCCAGCTAAGAATGCTGTTGTAAATAAAGGGGAACCCACACACCAGCCAACCACTTTCTAACACCTTCCCAGTCACGCTGTGGCCTCTGGCTAGAAAAGGGGTGTGTGTGTGCGCACGCAAGCGCCCCCCCCCCCGGAATAATGAATCGACAACATGAAGCATTTATTTGAAGATATACACCTTTGATGAACATAATGGAAACAGCATTGGGGATCATTTAATGGTTCTGGTGACTATGCTGGGTCAAATCCAGCGAAAAGCCAAAGGATCCAGTGGCATGAGGCACCTGCAGAATAAATAATTTTAACTCCCAAAAGAGAATTACTGGAGAGACTAGGTGAAAGGGTGGGGGAGTCAGGGCATCAGTGGC